GAAAATTAAAACACTCCAGTGAACTTCAATTCTTATTTCTGGTGATTCCTCTCAACCTACTCACACCAAAATTTAGTAGTATACAGGAAACAACATAAATTCTCTTGATACAAATGCCTCGGACCAATAGCTTTAGATTATCGTAGTATATAAATGAAAGTACCCAATGCTTACTCGCCCTTCATCAGTCATCATTCACACACTTCGATAATACTGACAAAAAGTAGAATGAGTATACTTATAGACGTAGAGGGGAAAATTACCAATGCCTCATAGCAGTTGGATCGTGGAGTGTTTAATTTCTTGAGATCAAAATATGCGATTACAGCACAGTAGGATACTGATAATGAAGATGAGATAGACAGTACAAATGAAGATAATACGTGCAGTCATCCGATGTGATGGGGAGGGATAACTAACTATTCTAGGTTGTAGGTGAAAGCCGTAGGAAGGAGAAGGACTGAACATACACTTTCTGAACAAATCGATTGTGTCAAAGATGTTTTATGGTGACTGCTTCAGCTCCGGTCAGTAGTGGAAGGTGTACAAGCGTAGAGAATTGAGGTGGCACCTTGTGTGCATAATTGTAAAGACTGAATTTCCATTCCTCCCGTGCTCATATCCAATAGGAGTCGTTCCTATATGGAACTCTTGACTGAAGTTACAACTTTACTTTTCTAAGCAAATTACACAGTGCTTAAGAAGGTGACCGTGTGCCTGCCAAGTCTACACAAGTCCAGATGATATTGGACATGGGAAGTAATTGATTGGATTAGCGCGAAGGATAATGAAGATGGTATGATGTGAACGTTTCAATAATTAGTTAAGGTTAAAATCAGATTTTCAAAAGTTGGAGGTTTCCTAATACTAAAGATGAAACAGGCAGATAATCAGAGTTTCAGTAAGTATGAAAAGTGTATGAAAGGATGAAAAGTAAGAAAATGATGCAAAGCCTTATTGAGTTTACTAAATTTAATTAGGCTAAGTAAGAGACAAAGGTAGATGAAACAAAGGTGAATATCCCGAATTCCCGGAATTTCGCCTATTATTAGAAGAAACGTTTTAACATCATTCCAGAGGTCTGATAGGGTAAGATAAATGGGCATGAAAGCGCCTCTTTTGTACACTTGATGACTATTATCAACCAAATCAGACAAAATTTAGCCTCTTCTGAATTTGTTTTGATTTCTGCTGAACTATAAATGACACCTCTAGACGTTATGATACTGTTCCTTTTTTGATAAATGATAACTGTCAAGGTTAAAGTAACTGAAACCCCTTTGCGAAGCTAGAGCTACTATCCACTAGGTGTGTGTACCAATCGATATAACAATCTAGAAGCTGGCTACAAGCAAAAGAACTCACTTCAGAGGTTTGACTTAGTCTTCTGCGTAATGCATCTCTGTTTTTTTAAAATCTGCTATCTTCAGTTTTTTTCCAATATTTTGAAGCTTAAGTTCTACACGTCATAACATTTAACGTATTTCAGTTAAAATATTAGTTTCCATTATTATTCCAGATTACTGTAGGAGTCAGCTCTTCAGATTTGTTTTACCCGAGACAATAATAAATTAATCAATATGTTAGGCAGCATATCTGGCACTCAACAGCACAATGTATCCGTAGATTAGTCAATAATCGATACAGAACTTAAGTGGAACAACAATTAATAAGTAAGGTCATCACTCCAACTACTCTCCACCACTATCGATCTAATTATTGTGTACTTAATAATTTGAATATCTCTCATTAATTAGCATTACAGCATACGTAAAGGTTCGATATCAAGTGGACGGTGTCTGTGTCCTTGAAGAGACATATATATATTCTTGTACAATGTATCATTGACCCTTGAAGTTCATTGGTTAATGCTATTCATGAATAATATCTCGTTATTGTGTTGGTGTTGTATATCATACTATTCAACAAACAGCATTGTGCAGTTATAGAATGGTGGCATGCAAATGAAGTGTATTCATGACTGTTTTTCCATTTTTCATCGCTGAAGGTACCACATAAAAGTAATTGCTTTATTTATTGAATTGCTTAAGGTTACATAAGAGTTGATTTGGGG